AAAAAAAAAAAAAAAAAAAATTTTTTTTTAAAAAAAAAAAAAAAAAAAAAAAAAAAAATTATATATTTATGCATTTAAAAAGTTGTATATCTTTTTTTTTTTTAATAATTTATATTTCAAAGGAATGCTCTTTTTCCATAAGTATAATTTATTATATAAAACTATCTTTTATAAATTAAGAGTTTTACTAACATTTCATTAATATATACTTAATATATTTCATATATATATATATATATATATATATTTATATATGTGTGTGTATGTAAATGTGCATTAATCTGTAAGCATAAATTTATATTGATATCTGTATATGAGCATATGCACACTTTAAATTATTTCATTTTTTAATTTTTTGTTGAAAATATTTGGTGAAGAATTTGTGGAAGAATCTATAATAGGAGAATTATTATAAGATCTTTTTTTTTTTGTTTTATTGTTGGATTTCTCTACTGATTTATTAATAGGTTTAAAAAAATCTCTTATATCTCTATCTTTTTTATTGTTATTAATATTATTGTTACTATAATTATTACTATTATTATTACTATCAAATGATCGGAATTCAGAAGATCTTCGTCGAATTTTTGGTGTATTGACTAAAGAAGACGGATATGATTTATTATGATTATTAGTTAAATCAACCATAAATTGATCAAATTTATTTACCTCTTTTACATTTAATGTATCTTCCATTCCGTTTAATGCTGTAGTTAAGGTATTCCATTTCCTATTTATAATCTTCCATACAATTTCATCAATAGTATTTTGTGCAATCAAATAATGAATATTTACATTTTCATGAGTTGTTCCAATTCTATGAGCACGATCTTCTGCTTGGATAATTTGACCTGGAACCCAATACAATTCACCAAATACAACTGTATTAGCTGCAGTTAAATTTAAACCTATACCACAAGCTGTTAAAGACAATAATGCAATTTTAATGTTTTCATTTTCTTGAAAATTTTTAATATACAATTCTCTCTTATCCATTGATGTTAATCCATCAACACGTATAAATTGAGTTTTTTTTTCTTTTAGAAATTCCTCTATTTCGTCCATTACTAGTTTATGATGACAAAATAGTAAAAATTTAATATCAGCGTCAATCAAATAGGTAATATATTCTTTTATAGCTTTTACTTTAGCATATCCAGTCATTTTAAATAAATGAGAAATTGATATGTTTTCCTCTTCATTATCTTCTGATTTTGAGTTATTCATTTGCGAAAAATGAACCTCATCAAATTCATCTATGTTGATATTTTTTTTCATTTCTAATTTTTTATAATAAGTTAAAATTTCACTTAGTTCTTTTGGTGGTATTTCTACAGGTATTTTGGATCTCAATTTTTCAGGTAATTCCTTCAATACATCTTTTTTTAATCTTCTTATCATTATTGTATTTGTTAAAAATAAATGTAATTCTTCTGTATGCTTACATCCGACATATTCAATTTTTCTTGTATATATATTCTTATCTTTAAAGCAGTATCTATCACAAAACTCATGATAATTAAATAAATTTGGAATAACACTTGAAACTTGTTCATATAATTCAGAAGGTTTATTTAATGCAGGAGTTCCTGACAACAATACACATCTTTTTGCACTTTTTATAATGGGTGTAATGGCTTTTGTTCTTTTAGAAAAGGAGTTTTTTAAGTAATGAGATTCATCACATATGATACTCTTGTATTTGTTTTGATATTTATCATTTTTTGTTATTAATTCATAAGATATTATGATCATTTTGCAATTAGAAGGAATATCAGTTTTACCACTTTTAACAACACATATATGTTTTTCACTTATTAAATGAGATAACCATCTTAAAGCCTGATCTTTCCATTGAAATCTAATTGAAGAAGGACATACAACAATAAATGGCCAATCGTCATGATAGAATGCCATTAAAGCTAATGCCTGTAACGTTTTTCCTAATCCCATTTCATCTCCTATTAATACTCTTCCATTTTTTTTTAACCCAAAATAAACCCCTTCTCTTTGAAAATTTTTTAATTCTGTACTTAATTTTTCACCTAATAGGATATCTAATTTGTCAAAATGTTCTCTCGTATAACTACACATAGTATTTGTCAAGATATTTGCAGTAATTTCACATATTTTTTTAGGTTCTGAAAATTTTGCATAATTTTTAAAGCATTTTAACAAAAAATTTGGTATTGCATGCACACCACCTAAAATATTACATTTTTCTTTTAAATTATTCAAAACATATTCATACTTATCTGCTTCAAACATAACACAAGAATAGTTATTAATTTTTTTTATGGTAGGGTTAAATTCAGATATTATTTTAAAAAGTTCTTTCGATAAAAAATTTTTAAAATTTACAAATTTTCTAGTATTGTTATCCTTCTGTACTATTTTAAAATGGTCATCATCAAATATTTCAAATGCGACTATTATATCTAATTCTAATTTTTCTTCTTTTCGGTTGTTACTATTGTTTATTTGATTCATAAGTTCCTGCTCATAATTTTTATATTCACTACTGTTCATTTTATCTATAATGTTTTTTTCATCATTATTTATATAACTATTTTTATTTTTATCGTATGAATCATATATATTTCCTTTATCGGAAAAATTATTATTTTCATTTGTCTTTTTCTTTTCAAACATATTATATATATTTTCATTATTTGATTTCTGACTTTTCATATTATTGTCATTTTTTTCACCTTCTTTTTGTAAAATATAATTTTTAAATAATATTAATGATCCTGTAGGGTTATCCAGTTTTTTAACCCAAGATACATAAGACTTATGTTTTTCGTAAACTTCTTCAAAACTTTTTCCATTATATTTTCCAAAATTAAATACCTCCATATTTTTATATTTGTAACTTTTTCTTGTATAAACAAAATAAAATTATTATATTTAAGAACACATTTAAAAAAAATTAAAAATATAACTAAATATTATTATTTTTTATTTTTTTTTTTTTTTTTTTTTTTTTCAATGTATATATATAAGTGTATCTTTTTTTAAGAGTTATGCATTTGTATTTTATATAATTTTAATGTTATTTTTTCTTTAAAATAATTTCATCTATAAATTTTATTTAAGACATATAAATGATATAAATCATTTTATAGTTTATATGGTAAGATAAATAAATGAACAGAAAAACAAACCTCAATTTATTAAATTTATTTTATGTTTTAAATAAAATATATAATGTTCCTTTTTTGAATCATTTATGTAAAAACATTTCATATTTATTTCATATTATTTTATTTCTTTTTTAACTTATTCTATAAAAAAATATTGTTATTTAAATCTAATATTAAACGAATCCAAATGAAAAATGTCATAAATTTTTTTTTAATTTCTTTTTTAAATAAATGTATATATAAAAATATTATTAAAGCTAGAATAATTAAAAATATTTTAATGTTCAAAATAAAAAGAAGACAAAAAAAAAAAATTAAATATATTTCAAGGTAAAAACTCAGGAAAACAATTATAAAAGTTTAAAAAAAATATATTTTTATAAAAATTAATATAATAAAATATATCTCAGAAAATTCCGAATATAAAAAACTACAAAAGAAAAAGAAATAAAAAAAAAAAAAAAAAAAAAAAAAAAAAAAAAGGAAAAAAAAAAAAAAAAAAAAAAAAAAAAAAAAAAGTTACAAAAAAAAAAAATGTTGCGTTTCCTTCGCAAATGGGATATTACAAACCAAAAATAATATACACGTAAGAAAGTACCTATTTGGATATTCTTTTATGGAAATAAAAAATACTAACTAAATAATACATGTTTATTTTCTTTTTTTCCTTCTTTTTTGAAAATTTTTTAAAAAGTGTAATTTAACTATTTTATTTAATAAATAGATCACATTCATCTAACTTATTTTTAATTTGCGAAATATCTATATTCATGAGAACTTTAAAATCTTCATATAATTTCTTATACAATTTTTTGGATATTACGTAAGCTAATAATAATGGTTCTTTAAATAAATCTTTATTTTTCTTGTATAAACCTAATGATGTTATATAAATAATTTTAGTAATAAAAAATTTATAATGGTGAAACACATGCCAATAATATACAGAAGAGACACAATAAGAACCCAATTGTAAAACTAAAATATCTTTTTCAATGTAATTTTCTGATAAATTGCAAAAATTTTCACAAATATTCTCCATGATTAAATTTATACTATTTTCTTCACGCTCACCTTTAAAATAAAAATTATTAAAATTCAATTCTTTTCTTTTTTTTTTTAAACGTCTTCCTTCAATCATATTAGTATATCTATATGAGTTAAAATTTTCACTTTCTTTTATATGATTAAGAATATATTTTTCATTCTGCAAAACTGTGGCGTTGTTAGAATTAGATTTATTAATTTGTAAAAAATCTTTTTTTCTTTTCTCATTCTGATTTTTTATAAATAATTTATTTGACTCTTTAATTTTTTTCATTTTTAATTCATCATTTTCTTCATTTTTCAATATATCAATTGGGTTAGAAAAGTTATTGAAATACAATTTCCCTAACCATCCAAAGTTATTTACTCTCATAAAGTTAAAAAAGCAATTATTCCATAAATCAGCTGAATTATAAAAAGGCTTAATAAAAAAAACAGGACAAGCATAAGTTAGTTTTCTATTACAACAAGAGCAACATATTTTATTATATTCTAGGTAAAAAATAAAAATATTTGCATAATTTTTTAAAATATTTTTAAAACTAGTTTGAAAAGGATGGGACTCGAATTGATCTCTTTTTGATAAAATTTTATTTTCAATTTTTTGGATACAACGATCATAATAATTTTTTGATTTATTTTTACTTATTTTACAAATCATTTTTAAAAAATCGTAATTACTAAACTTTTCTTCATTCTTTAAGAACTCATAAATTTTTAGTATTTCATCATTCAAAATATTATACATAAAACTGTCATTAATATCTTTCATTATTTTTTTTTTAAAGTTCATTTTATTATTATATGAATACTCTTTTTCTTTTTTAGAATTTCCAAATATGTCATATTCATATTCTTTATCTTCGCTCTCAACATCATTCTCATCCTCATTCTCATCTTCTTCATCATTTTCATACTCATCCTCGTCATTATCATCTTCTTCATTTTCATCCTCATCATTATCATCTTCTTCATTTTCATCCTCATCATTATCATCTTCCTTCTCATCATCATCCTCATATTCTTTTTCTATTTCATAATCATATTCTACTTTCTGTCTATGTTGTTGCTTCTTTTCTTTTATTTCTTCTTTTTTATCTTTTTCTAATTTTTTAATTTCAAATTTTTCATTATAATTTTCTTCTATCGATTTCTCGCTGTTATTCATATTTAGATTATTTTCATCTTTTAAGTTAATTTTTTTATTATATGAATATTCAATATTTGATAGAGAACTACCGTCACTTATAATATATTTTTTTTTTTTTTTTTTTTTCATTTTTTCTTGATTTAACATAAAATTACTAAAATGGCTTTGATTATATGACTCTTTGTTTTTTTGACTATCAGAGTCATGTTCAAATAATCTTTTTAGATTTTTTTTTTTTTTTTTTTTGTTATTTTTTAGCCCTTCTGTTGTACTATCTGACTTATTATAATATTCTTCAAGAAATTTTTTTTTTTCTAATTCTTTATGAATGTTTGAATAATTTAATTTTAATAACTCTACTACTTTTTTAGTATTTTCAGAAACCTTAAAGTAATTAACCTTATACTGAAAGTTTGGAGATAGTAGAGATAAAGTAATAAATTCAATATACAATCTAATAGATTTTTTTATACTTAAAGAATTAAAGCTAAAGTAATCATCGTCTAAATTTTGTTCATTAAATATCTTTAAATGTAATGCATATTCATCAGTTTTTTTTTTTCCATCTGAATTATCATAAGACAGATCTGTCTCATGAGAATTTTCATATAAATTTGAATAATCAGAAATATATTTAGAATTTTCACTACTTGATATTATTTTATTTTTTTTATTTTTTTTTTTTCCACTAAATCTAAAATCTACATCACTTTCAGTTTTTCTTAAATTATTTTCATTTGACTCATTTTCACTAAAAAGATTAACATTTGAATTTATTTTATCATAATTATTTTTATTCATATGAGTTTCATCAAAACTATTTGTATTTGAAGAGTTTTTATTACATTGATATGTTTTTATATTATTTCGATTAATACTGCTTTCACATAAAGTTTTGTCTGCCATATCATTTTTAATATTATCTTTAATAAAACTGAATAATAATTTACTTTCATCTTCTTCATTACACATTTCTGTGCTATCATTATTCTTTACAAAATCCTTACTTATATATTTTTTTGAACAGAAATTTTTGTTAATTTGTAAATCTTCATTATAATTTTTATCCGTGATTATTGTGTTACTAACCTCGTTTTCTTCATTAAAGGAATTTTCTACATTATTAGATGAAAATATATTTTTATCATCATCAAAATCATTTTCATATTTTATTTTTTCGACAAAAAAATTTTTTTTTATTGTATTATCTTCACTACAACTGCTATCACTAATTATTTTTTTTTTTAATTTGCTTTTTGAATTTATTATTTTTTCATTAAACTCAAAACAATTGTGTTTTTTTGTGTTTTTTATATTTATTACTTTTGATAACTCATATAATTTTTTTTTTCTACAATTATCTATTCTTGTTTCGTTCTTTTCCTCTTTTTTGTAATCTTCATTATATTCATTCATTTGTGTTGTATCTTTAACATAAGCTTTATTATAATAAGGTTTTAATTGTGTATTTTTATTATTTACATTTCTCTTTTTTAATACCATTTCTAAAAATAATAATCTTGAAATTCATTAACATAGTCATAATTTTAAATGCCTTTATAATTTTTAAATTAAATTTTGTCTATTTCATTTTAAAATACTTTTTTTTAAAATATAATAAAAATCTTTAACAATAGGTTTTAATATTATAGTTTTATTAATAATATATTTAAAAATATTATAAATAGTTAATTAGTTTTATATTTAGTAAGCATAAGAATATATTTAATTGGGAAAATATTTATTTATTTATATTTTACAACCCACAAAAACAAAAAAAAAAAAAAAAAAAAAAAAAAAATGGATAGTATTCAAGATATTATATTAATATGCAATTTGCTAACAATATTATTCTATAGTCTTTAGGAAAAAAATATGAAAGATAAAAAAATACATCAAAGAAAAAATCATTTCAAATTTTGCATAAATACTGATAAATTATCTTTTTAATACTATTTTCAATGTTAACATTTTCATTTGCACATGTACAAAATTAATCTAAAAACTTCTTGTAAAAAAAATTATGTTTGTGTTATTTTTTTATATTCTTTCATAAAAATATTTTTATTCTTTGAAAATAATGTATTTTTTAACTAATCATTTGAAGAAATTTTACAAAAAAATACAAGTGAAATTATTTTTTTTTAAAACATAAAATAAAATATGAACTTAATTTGCCTTTACATAAATTTTATTATTTTTTTTTTTTTTTTTTTTTTTCTTTACATCATAACTTATTCTAATAAAAATGAAAGATAAGTTATATTAAAAAAAAAAAAAATACTTTTTATTATTGTTTATAAGTTATTAATAATAATTTCATAAAATTAAATAATTCAAAAAATTATAAATGTTATAGTGATTTATAAATTAAAATAGTTAATTTTGTTAACTTATGTTGAAAATAAATCATACAATTAAATTGGTAATTTATAGAAAAGGCAAAATTTTTGCCAACAATACATTGCCATGAACCTATATTTTGATTTTTTAGATTGTCTATGTCATCTAAGCAGTTTTTATCATTTATATTATCTTTATTTAATATTTCATCATTTTCACATTTCAGTTTTATTTGGCTTGCTATATCCTTTTCAAACTTATTTTCCTTAATAGCTTTTAAAGTTATTTTAGATATTTTTTCACAATTCTCACTATTCATACATATGCCTTTAATTTCAAATTTTGATGAATATTTTTTCACATCACTTAGTTCCATCATTTATAAAAATAAAAAAAAAAATTTTATAAAATTATTAATAAAATATATATAGATAATATTTTAATTCATAAAATGTAAAATCTAAGGAGTTTTATTTAATTTAATCATATAAATAGAAAAAAAAAAAACTTAAAATTTTCTTTTTAAAAACTAAAAAAAAAAATGTATTTCTAATAATGAAAAAAATGTTGTCGTAAAAAAACAGTACTAATGTTATAAAAACAAAAAATAATAATAAATTTTTTAGAAAATAAATTAAAAATATAAAAGTAATATACCTAAAATAATAATGAGAATAATAAGATAGTAAATAATAATGTAAATAAAAATAATAATACTAACATAAAGATGTGTATATGACATGTCTATAAATTCTCTTATATTAAAAAATTGATTTTTAAATTTCACATAAAAATTATTATGATTATTAAAATATAAACTTATATTTATAATATATATTTGCATATCTAGATGGTATTATTTATTTGATATTATAACAATAATATCATAAAACAAAAATGAAAAAATAAGAAGTGGATAATAGAAAAAAAAAAAAAAAAAAAAAAAAAAAAATTAAAATAAACAGCTATAAATATATGTTCAATATAATACATATGATATACAAAAAAAAAAAAAAAAAATTTTAAAAATTATATATTTCTTTTATATATAGAATTCTTCTCTTTAGAGAAAAATAATTTTTTATATTGTTTTTTTTTGCTGATGCCCAAATTTTTGTTAAATTTATAAATGGAATTCCTCCATTTTGAAAAGTTAAAAGGAAACGAATTTTTAATAAAATATCTTTTTTTTTTAGGTTAGTATTTCTTACAATATTTTCAATTAATAGATAATAATCTCTTTCGAGAATATATTCTAAACTATCATCATTTATATATTTTTCAAACCAACCATATAATAAAACACTGATGCTTTTTAATGCTACGTCATTTTTATCTATGTAATTTTCAGAATAATTATATAATATTATATTTAAAATGTTTTCTTTTAATTCTGCATAATTATGTACTTCGTTTCTAAATATATTTATACATAATTCAACAAATTCTTTGCATCTATTTGTTAATATTTTATTATTAATTAAATATTCTTGTGCTTCATTTATATAAGTTTCAATATCTTGTTTTAACAAATATTTTTTATTCATCCATTTTAATTTTTTAATATCAAAAACTATTGAAGATTTATTTAATAAATGTATATTGAAATTCTCTATTAATTCATCCATAGTATAAAATTCTCTAAAAATAAAAAATAAATTGTTATTTTTGATAAATACACATATGCATATAATTTAAACATTAGTAATTATACATATATATGAAGAATTTTTTTATTCAAATAAACTCTAACTTTTTAGAAATGCTTCCCCATCCCAGTGTAGCCATATAATTAACTACGCATTCTGGTTTAAAACCTTCATCCCTAAAAATAAAATATAAATAAGCATTTTATATAAATTCATACTTGTAATATCATACATGAATAAAGAAAAAAGGTAAAAAAAAACCTTAAGTTTCTAATTAAACATTCACTATTCCTTTTGCTAATTTTTTTTTTATTTGAAGTCGTTATAATAGGTATATGAGCATAAACCGGAATATTAGAATTCAAAGATTCTAATATTAAAATTTGCCTAAAATATATGAAGAATATTTTAAATAATACAATATTTGAAAAGTTAAAAAAAAAAAAAAAAAAAAAAAAAAAAAATTCATACATTTACATAATGCATGAAATATCTTACTTGAATGTATTTGATATATGTTCAACACCTCTTATAACATGAGATACTTTCATTAGGTGATCATCAACGGATGCTGAAAAATTGTATGTTGGCAATTTATTACTTCTTAATATAACAAAGTCTTCATCTACAACATCAGTAATATTATTTTTTAAAATATCTTTCAGTATAATTTTTCTGTTGATTGGTGATTTGTATCGTATTGTGTATGGTTTATCTTGTTCTAAATACTTTTTAATTATTTCATTATTTAAATATCGACATTTTCTATCATAGATATACTTTTTTTTCATCATTTTTTCCTAAGAGAAAATTATAGAAGCTTTTATTATTTTCTTAATAATGATTTTATTCTAATTTATTTTTACCTTTTCTTTTTTTTCATTTAACTCTTCTTTTGAACAAAAACAGAAATAAGCTTTTCCTTGTTTAACAAAATCATGAGCTATTTTTCTATAAAATAATTTTAAAAAAATTATTTAAAAATTTCAACATAAAGTTAATTTTTCCTATATATGTACATGAATAATTTTTTCTCTTTTTTTTGTTTTTCTACTACTTATAAACTTCTAGTCTTTCGGATTGTTTATATGGACCATATATTCCTCCTTTATCTGGACCTTCATCCCAATTTAATTTTAGCCACCTTTTAATAACAGTAGGAAGAATAAGAAGAAAGTTTAAAGTAGTAATTAATAGCTTAGTATTATAATGATTATGTTTTTATTTTTATTCTAATTTTTTTTTTATTTTTTTTTAAATATAAATATATAAATTTATTAATTTAATTTGATTTTAAAAAATCATGTACATTGCATATATTAAATAACTAAGAATATCTTAAATACCTTAAGTCATTAATTATTTCACTTAATGATTCTTTGGAATTTCTTTTTGTATCTGTATCTTCAAATCTCAGTATTAAAATTCCTTTCATCTGTTTTGATAGAATGTAATTATATAAAAAGGTCCTACATCCTCCAATATGCATATAACCAGTTGGACTTGGAGCAAATCTTAATCTTGGTTCAATCTTAGGAACTTCATCATTTATAACAAAATTTTTAAAATTTTTTTTTTTTTTGTTATATTTAATTGTATTCTTTATGCTGTTTTTTAAAATGAAACCAAATTTGTATTTTTTATTATGTAATATATTTAATCGATATTCCCTTGACTTTTTATCCCAAGAATGAAAGAAAAGTTTTGCTTCATTTGCATTTATCTTTATTATAATTAATATAATTAAAAAAAAATAAAAATTCATATTTTTTCATGATAGCTTTTTCTTTCATCATAAAAAAATTTACTAAAATATTTATTAGTAAATTTAAATCATATACTTTTTTTTTTGCTGCATAATTTTTCAGTTTTAAGTCTTTATAAAGTAAATTAATTTTTTTTAACACTTTTATATATATTAATATATGTATTTCTTTTTTTACATTTTTTTTTTTTTTTTTTTTTTTTTTTTTTTTTTTTTTTTTTTTGTATATTTTTATTACAGTTTTGGCAACATTTATGCTTTTAAAATAACTTACCATTTTATTTTTTTTTTTTTATTAAACATAAAATATATTAATAATATATTAAACATTAAAATTTAAATATTATTATTTTTACTCTTATTTTCTTAATTTTTTTAACTAATAGAGGATAATACACTGCAATAAAAATAAAATCAAATGATTCACATACAATAATAAAAAAATTAATATAATTATAAATACTTATGTAATTTTAACATGCCTATATTTCCTTTAAAGCAGGTGAACAAGGATAATTGTCTTATCCTACGTAAAATAAGACATATACTTTTTATTTTACGAAGAATCATTAAAAAAAAAAAAAAAAAAGGAAAATTAAATACTTTTTTTTCTTTATCTTTTTTTTTTCCTTTATATAATATATTACTTAAACATTAAGTTGTATATATTTTTTATTAATAAAAAAATAAGTAGTTTTTATCATCTAAGTTCTATTTAATTTTATTTTATTTTATACTTTTATTTAATAATAAAGTAAAAACTGCCAAAATTTTGTTATTACAATTAGTTTTAATATAATTATTTTAGTTTTAATATTTAATCTATTTTTTTTAATATAAAAATAAAAAAAATTAAAAACATATTAGATATATATAATAAATGATAAAAATTATAAACTTTATTTTTTTGCTCCAGTTTTGGCAGGTTTATTTGAAGATACAGCTCCTGGCTCTTTCTTTTCAACTGATTTAATAATACCTACGGCAATAGTTTGTCTCATATCACGAATAGCAAATCTACCTAATGGTGGATATTCTGTAAATGTTTCAACAACCATAGGTTTTTTTGGTTCTAAACTAACTAAAGCTGAGTCTCCAGACTTAATTGCTTTTGGGTTTTCTTCAACTACTTTACCTGAACGTTTATCTATTTTAGAATCAATATTTACGAATTTACATGAGATGTGAGATGTATGACAATCTAAGACTGGCGTATACCCATTTTTAATTTCACCTGGATGATTCAAAATAATAACTTGTGCTGTAAATTTTGCACATCCTTTAGCTGGTTCATTCTTTGTATCTGAAGCAACATATCCTCTTTTAATTTCTTTGACAGATACGTTTTTAACATTAAAACCAATATTATCACCTGGTCTTGCTTCTTCTAAAACTTCTTTGTGCATTTCAACTGATTTACACTCAGAAACAACTGCTGATGGAGCAAAATTCAAAACCATTCCAGCTTTTAATATACCTGTTTCAACACGACCTACAGGTACTGTACCTATACCTCCAATCTTGTAAACACCTTGAAGTGGAATTCTTAATGGTTTATCATATGGTCTCTTTGGTGGTTCCATAGTATCTAANGCTTCAATTAATGTTCTTCCCTTATACCATGGTATAAAATCAACTTTATCTGCTGCATATCCAACTTTTTTTAAATAATCTCTAACTTCTTTTTTAATTTCTTCATATCTCTCTTCTGAATATTTAACTGTATCCATTTTATTAACACCTACAACAATTTGCTTAACACCTAATGTAAAAGCTAATAAAGCATGTTCCTTTGTTTGACCTTCCTTAGAGAATGCACCTTCAAATCCACCAACTTCAGCTGGTACTATTAACAAAGCAACATCAGCCTGAGATGTACCAGTAATCATATTTTTGATAAAATCTTTGTGACCTGGTGCATCAATAACAGTGAAATAATACCTTGGGGTTTCAAATTTCCATAAAGCAATATCTATAGTAATACCTCTTTCTCTTTCTGCTTTAAGTTTATCTAAAACCCATGCATATTTGAAACTACCTTTACCCATTTCAGCTGATTCCTTTTCAAATTTTTCAATAGTTCTTCTATCTATACCTCCCAATTTGTAAATAATGTGACCTGTGGTAGTTGATTTTCCACTATCGACATGGCCAATAACAACTAAATTAATATGTGTTTTTTCTTTTCCCATTTTTATGATTTTTAATCAAAAAAGTGTTAATTTTAAATAGCAGACGTATGTTTATATTTTTTATTATTTTACAGAAATATTTTTCTTATAAAACTAGCTTTTTATTCGAAAAAAAGAAAAAGTTATAAATGTATTTATTTTTTCAATTTTTTTTAATTTTTTTTATGTTTTTAAGCATTATGTAAAAACTTTACACTTAAATGTAAAATATATTTATAATTAGTCAAACGCGTAAAAATGTTATAAATGAAGCATATAGAAAATAAAAAAAAAATAAAATGAAAATTAAAAAAAAAAAAAAAAATAAAAATAGTAAAAAAAAAAAAATGTACTAAACAAGTATCGAGATTTCATATATATATGTCATTAAAATTAAAACTTATACATTAAAAAAATTATGAAAATACAAGAAAATGAATAATCTGCGAAATTATACACATACATTAATATAAAAATATTAAATTTATTTTGTTACATCTTAAATGGGCAAATCCTAAGTTTACAAAATTTTTCATACTGTCAAGCTTTTTGTATTTTTATAAAGAGATATTTTTTATGATATACTAGAAATTTCATTTTCCTGGTTCACCCCTCTAAACACCAGCAAATATTTCATCCACTGAAAAAATGTGAAAAAAATACAATGCTTATAGTAATGTTGCGAATTTAAATTATTTTAAAAAAAGTATTTTTTTTTAAAAAAAAAAAAAAAAAAAAAAAAAAAAAATTGCATATTTTTTATAATAATTTACGTAATTGTATATGACTTGGTCATAATTTTTTTTTATTTTTAATTATATTTTATACTTTTTTTAACTTAATTTTTTTCTTTTCATTTTGTATATATTTAAAATTTAAAAATTTTATAATATAACAATTAAATTATTATAAAACATAAAAATAAATTTTTTCTTTAAACTTTAATATTTTTAAGTTTTTAAAAGTTTTAATATATTAATATATTTACTATATATATTTACCTAAATAAATTATATTTTTAAACAAATTTTAGCAAAAATGGGAAAAGAAAAAACACATATTAATTTAGTTGTTATTGGCCATGTCGATAGTGGAAAATCAACTACCACAGGTCACATTATTTACAAATTGGGAGGTATAGATAGAAGAACTATTGAAAAATTTGAAAAGGAATCAGCTGAAATGGGTAAAGGTAGTTTCAAATATGCATGGGTTTTAGATAAACTTAAAGCAGAAAGAGAAAGAGGTATTACTATAGATATTGCCTTATGGAAATTTGAAACTCCAAGGTATTATTTCACTGTTATTGATGCACCAGGTCACAAAGATTTTATCAAAAATATGATTACTGGTACATCTCAGGCTGATGTTGCTTTGTTAATAGTACCAGCTGAAGTTGGTGGATTTGAAGGTGCATTCTCTAAGGAAGGTCAAACAAAGGAACATGCTTTATTAGCCTTTACATTAGGTGTTAAGCAAATTGTTGTAGGTGTTAATAAAATGGATACAGTTAAATATTCAGAAGAGAGATATGAAGAAATTAAAAAAGAAGTTAGAGATTATTTAAAAAAAGTTGGATATGCAGCAGATAAAGTTGATTTTATTCCAATATCCGGTTTCGAAGGTGATAATTTAATTGAAAAATCAGATAAAACACCATGGTATAAGGGAAGAACATTAATTGAAGCTTTAGATACTATGGAACCACCAAAGAGACCATTTGATAAACCATTAAGAATTCCACTTCAAGGTGTTTACAAGATTGGAGGTATAGGTACAGTACCTGTAGGTCGTGTTGAAACAGGTATATTAAAAGCTGGAATGGTTTTGAATTTTGCTCCATCAGCAGTTGTTTCTGAGTGTAAATCAGTTGAAATGCACAAAGAAGTTTTAGAAGA